AATCATGTTTTAAATGCTTGATATATATTTTAATGTGCTGGCTAAGGGTTACCCTCCTTTTTCCATTTTGAAATTATTGGAAGCTGCCAGCTGGTCGGCTTCTGAAAGTTCTCTCCTCTTTCTATATATACACATATATATTGCTTCATCAACTCAAGTTTTTGTTAATTATTAGCTTCTGGAATATTTGAAAGCACTACTTCACCTAATGTGTTAATTAATCACCTCAACAATCTAACATTTTTATGTCCACTGCAATATTTTATTATTGATGCAGAAATTTGATCGGGATTCTTTTTCCTAGTTTCACTGATTTTATTTAGAGTAAAAGATAAATGCGTAAAGGTATAATTATATTTTAGACGTTAGGAACTTTTTTTAAATCGGAAACATAATATCAACATGTAGTTACCAAAAAATCAGTTCTAAATTATGCGATCTACTAAATATGTGGTTACCAACTTTTCTTTTCTGGGATTTGTTGACTTGTTATCTAGAGAAGTTGAGTATAGAGTGTAACGTGTTGTGAGCATACTAGATTTGGTTTACTTTCTGATAGAAATTTGGTTATCTGAATCTGAGTAGAATCTCGAGGCAATATATGATATATCCTTTTAAATTAGTTAGGAGAATTCGAATTCTAGAAAGTAGGGATTTTCTCATCCATAACATTTATCAATAATTTTTTTTTATAATCGATCTCATCTGACTTACGCTATGTATTCCTATGTATAACCGAGACTCGTTGTCTGGACTGAGCACACAATGACAAGTAGAGAGTTTGAACCCAATATCTCATAGAAGGTGATAGCATACCGTCCAAAACCATTGTCACTATACCATCTCTAGAGACAATATTTTATTAATAATTCTAATAATCTAACAGGCCTACACCCAACTTGTTGTACTCTTTCCCTTAAAGGTTGGAGGTTCATAACTCATCCCTACTAAAAAAATATTATTTTTCTGTCCAGAAAGAACATATTTTATTTAATCTAATCATTTGTAAACTTTTTAGATTTATCAAGATTTCTAAGGTCTTCGTGGTCATTCACTTATCTTTTTTTCATTTACCTTTAGAGATAAAAGGTAGCTAATAGGACCCTTTCTCTATATCTCAAGGACACAGTAACCTTAAAAATAAAATGTAGGTCATTAATAAAATTTCGTGGGAAAAAAATAGGATTCACTTTTACCAAAAATCGTTTAGGATTTTTTTTTATTATTTATAAAAAAATTGAATGAAATATAGCTTCTAAATCAAAATTTAAACAATAAATAAATTAAAACAAATATTATATTAAAGCAAAGGCAGAAAAGGAAAGAGAATTATACTATAAATAATTAAAATATTTGGACGGTTATGTTTGATATTTAAAAATGATATAAGTTTATAACCATACACTTTTAAAAAGAAAAATCTAAAAATAGCTATTTCCCTAATTTGTCTAAATTTAACACTGGCAGTGACATTAAAGTAGAGAGATGAGAAGATATGCTCAGAGTCACATCCCGATTGGAATAAAAAGGAAAAAATGATTGTCACGTTTTGGGCACAAAAAGATTATTTGAATTGAACACGCAATCATCTAATTGAAAAGTTTTCATATTTTGGTAGGTTCAAAATAAAACCTATTTTTCTGAATGAGGCTAAAAAATTATAGGAGCTTTTCTATGCCACAAATACGAATGCGGAGGTTATGAGCGTAATTGGAGTGAAGCAGTTAAGACGTCTTTTTCGTACTTCTTTCTCATTTTTGAAGCAATAGAGCATATTTGATTGATAATTAGAGGTATATGTCAAAATTGCTGAGTTATGCTCGTTTTGACTGACATGGCAAAATAATTAATGAAATTGAAGTTTGAGGGGATGATTAAATAACTTTAAAAAAAAAAGTTAGAAATTGTTCCCATCGAGAAAGGTATATATCCTTTAGTACAATAAAAATAAAAATATGGAGGATGAGATTTGAATAGTTGACTTTAAAAGAAAGAACAAATAGTTTAACATCACATTGGTATGAATAAATATATATTTGTAAGATCAAACAATAAATTATTAAATATTTATTATGTGTTGGAACAAATCATAAAATAACTATTACTTTTAAAAAGTATTGAAGTAATCTTTAATAAAAGGTCATAATCGTATCCATTTAACATATCACAAGTCAAACATCATAGTTAAAATTTTTCATTTTGATATTAAGTTTGGTATTTATGTCTATGTGTACGACATGTGTAACGAAAAAAACCAAGTCAAGTTGAACCACGACTTATATAAAACAATTTTTAACAATTTAATATAGTTTTTACGTAAACACTATAAANTGTAACTTTCTTGTAATCTCTTGAATAGTTCATAAGTCAATTGTTTGATTATTTTGTCCGTTGGGGTTTTAGCAGATGGGCCGGTCCAAGCCCAAAAATGAAGACGATGCACACGCTGTCAGAGACTTGTTAAGGCCACGTGAAAACGAAAAGAATTTGAGACCTCCATTTCAATCTTCCGTGATAGAAAAACAAAAAAGAAAAAGAAAAATCTCACGTGCGTGAACCATGTGGGACAAATTAAATATAATAATTTGAAGATCCGCGCACAGCTAATTCTAAACTGTGATTTACTCGAATCATATATTAAGTGACAGAGAATTTTTTCTTTTATAAAGTAACAAAGCGATTATTTTTCCAGAAAAAGAATATATAGTAATTACCGGTTCCGGAGAAACTATCATAGCCATTACATTTACCTATTGAATAATAAATAACAACCTTTTAAAAATATAAATAGAATTTATAGCTGCAAATGATGTAATATCTACTTAAAAAAAATTAAAATTGAAGCCAAGACTTTTAAATTTAAAAAGATAGTTCTTAAAAATTAAATGTATGCTGGAAATTGGAAATTGGAAAGGGAAAGGACTGTTGCAAACATATATCGAAGTCTTCAATGTACCGCCTCGTAAAATATATCGAAGTCAATTTGCCAAATTGTACGAACACTAGGAGTTGACCAGATGCCTTTTTTTTTTTTTTTTTCCTTTTCTTTTGTTTTTCGGTGAATTGCATTTACTACTTAAAATGGATTGGAAATTGATTCAATATAATATAAATCACATCCCCGTCACTCTCACCTATTCTTAAAATCAAACCACATTGTCGCTACTCAAACCATCAATAATCCCATAAATATAGCCCTTCATTTCATTTTTTGTTCCTACAAAAGAAACGTCTACTTTATTTATTTTAATACTTCACTATCATCAATTAAAACCAAAACAGCTGCAACTTTGCTACAAAAATTAATATAGAAATATCTTTTCCAATTATAATTTATAACGTTGGAGTACGTCTATTTTTTTTTTCTTTTACAATTATGCACATACAACCATTTTAATTTTTATACTAAACTTTCAATGCTCATCCATTCAACTATAGACTAAGACAAGTATTTTAGTATGAGGAAATTATACATAAAATATATATATATATATATATATATATATTGTATTTATAAAACTATTATTACTTTTTATTTTACTAATTTAAACTAAAAGCAAGATAAATTTTCCCCCAAGCTCGTTAATTTAAAAAAAAAAAAATCAAATTTTGTACCAAATTAAATCCAGCCAATGAACAAGATCTTGAATAACTTTCTCCTCACAAAATTCTAAGAAAAAAACCCTAATACAATTTTTCTCAAAAAGTCCCATCAATTTTCTATTAGACTATTTTATAATTTATTAACATACCTAATTTATTTTAAACATTCTTATTAAATGAAAACTTATTAGAAAGTAAAAATTATCATCTTTATTCAAGTTTAAGATAAAATTGTAACAACTATTTAAGCTTAAGTTGTAATTTGATGAAATTTAAAATTTAGGGTCAAAATTGATATAACTCACTAATTCAAAAGGAAAAAATCGATATTTTGAATTTTTTTTAAATGTTTATTCAGAAATCCTGTGTCTTATGATATATATTTGTCGAATTTAAGAATACAGTATGAGTATGTATGTTTGTGCAATGAATTAAATAATACAAAAATACACATGTTGTAGTTAAAAATAATAATAATGTGTTTGATAACAATTTTCATTTGCAAAAGGTAAATAATACAAAAATAAATGGATAGACGGCAGAGGAAATCTGAAAAAGAAAAAGGGGGGTGGACGGCGAGTAATGAGTATGGAGGGAGTCAAAATCAAACACGGCTCGCTCGGTATGGTGGGGCCCAGCCAGAGCTCAGCCGTAGCAACAGTCGCCCGTGGGGCCCACCACCGAACGAAACTTCACCGAAACGGGCGCATAGTTGGGCTCGAGTTCTGAATGTGGACCGTCGGCTCAAGACTTGGTTAGGTTATTATTGGAATTGACTACTTTTTGTTTCTGTGCCGTCAACACACCGGCGGCTCCGGAAACAGGTTCTTTGCATTTGGAAGAGGATTCCACGTGGACTTCTCTACAAATCCCTCCATCGCCCAACCAGATTCTCTCTCTCTTTTTTTTTTTTTCCCTCGAAAATATGTCTCTTTTTATTGAATGACTGAATGTGATATTTTAATTGGATTGCGGGCACCGATTAAGTGGCGTGCCGTGTTTGATAATTAGCTTAGTGGTTAAATTAATTTGTGGCGATGGAGTTCTTCTTCCCCACTACACCTTAGAAAAATTGGAATAGCCATTTATCTGTTAGAGAAAATAGAAAAACTCTACTCCAGGAAAACTTTATAATTTACTTACTCTTATTTATAAGAAATATACATGGAACTTGGTTCTGATCCATTAGAAAAAATATCTCCTTTGTTAATAGATAATTATAAATTTTTATCTTTTTGATATATAAACATTTAGATTGATAGACCCATGTCATACAATCAATCGATTGAAAATGATTAGAGTGGGAGGAAG